CTTGGTAACCGCTGCACCAATTTCTTCCAAACTTGGCACAGTTGTTGGTCCTGGTACAGCATACCAAATGGCCGAAAATTTTTAAAATCGGACAATAACCACGCCCACATCCCATATAACGGTAATTTAGAAAAATACGAAATTCTCGATAAATCAGTAAATATTAAAGCAAATTTTTTCAAAATTGATGGGTGCAACAATTCTTAACAAAGAAATATGTTTGTGATAAGATTTTGGAAAATGGGCGTGGCAGCGCCCACTTATGATCACATATATTTGTCTCGGTAACCGTTCTACCAATTTGTACCAAACTCGGTACGGTTATTGTGCTTGCCACACAAAAGCAAACCGTTTTTCGGCCGTTTTTCATATAACCGGTAAATTTCAGAAATGCTTGAAATTTCAATATTTCGAAATTTAAGGACGCTAATTTACTTAAAATTTATACACCCCGGCTTATCATGTAGCGACAGCTTTCGGAAAGGTGGAAAACATATATTTAATACTTGCGCCGGGTATTTAATGTTCGGCTCCGCCCGAACTTAGACTTTCTTACTTGTTTAAACTGAAGCTGATAAAAAACCGACTTCGGACGTCCATGACGGAAAATAGGCTGAATTTTTTGGCTTTTTGGAATTTTCACGCAGTTTCCTAAAAACATAAAAAACACCGTCCACAAAAAAAAATTACCAAAAATCAACGCCGGTTTTTAGCAACTTCAAACTTCCACTTTTTTACTAAAATTTACTGCGACTGAACAAATCTTATTGGAAATCTGCAAACTAGTATGAAGGTTTATTGAATTTTCCAGAGTTTTGCACAAAGTTAAGAAATTTTATTTTTATGTTTTTTATTGTAGTATGAACTATATTTTTATAAAAAATTTGCGAAAAGAAACCAGAACTAAAAACTTTACATACGTTGCGAGAAATTCTGGGTGCCCATACTATTGTCCGGCACTGTACATTAAGGCGTATCACGAAAAAAAGATTAGCGTGTGTCAGTTTTATTTGAATACTTATGTCGAGAAAAAAATTTGGGTGTAGATTTTGGTTTTTTTGCACCCGCTAAAAACGCGGGTAAATCGCGTTTTTTGCTATAACTTTCTTATTTGCTATCCGATTTTTTTAATTTTTATGTCACCGGAAAGGCCTCGCTCAGGACTAACATCAATGAAGCTTAACCCTTTTTAGCAAGGTCGTCATCGGGTTTTGAGAGCTTTAGATTTATAGTGTAAAAATAAAGATCTAGGGAAAGTACCCTCAGATTGAATACCCGTCCACATAAAACTTTCGCGTTGGCTTTGGTGTCGCCATTTGTTTGACAGAGTATGCTTGCTACAACGAACGCTTGGCAGCGAATGCTTTGGTCACTAAATTAACATACTAGCAACAGATAAATTAATATTTCATATCAATAAATGCATGAAAAACGATATTTCTTGCCCGCATTTGATTAAAAAGGAAACATATTTCACACAATTTTATTTATTTACAACAGCTGATGAGCGACGCACGCGAAAAGTTGATAGTTGGCCAACTTTCTGCTTTGTGTTGGCGTTAGCATTGCCGAATTTCGGCTTTGTGGACGGCTGCATTTTAGTTCATAAAAAAAAAAAAAAAAACTACTCAGCTTCATTTCTTCGCAACTATAGCCACCATATTCATCGGACTAAGACCCAATACTAATTACGAGTTTAATTCGATTTCTAATTCTGTGATTCGATCCTTAATCTCTGCATTAGCTTATAAAACTTGTATATCATTTAATCTATTCGAATTTGTAGTCAATAGTTTTGCTTTTCACTGAAGGAAAATTGAAAATGACGCGCACGAACTCACTTAATTTATGTGAAGTAGTAGAGTAATTGAGTAATTTACGTTACAATGTGAACATAGTATAAGGTACTCGTTCATTGTGCCTCACTTCTTTCGACAATCGTAACTGAATGTTTTTTAATTGCCGTTTTTTTCAAAATGTTGTGATAATTAAGGGAAATTTGACTTTTGGCGGAATTCGTTAACGGGGAGTATTTCAAAAAAAAAAAAAACAATCATTGTTAAAAATTTCAAAACTTGTATCAAAAAAGATAGGGTATACACACCTGTATATGTTAAATATGTGTCTATGATTTTACTGTATATACATACATTAGTATGTATTAGAGGGCTGCACGAATGCATTCAAAATGGCTTATGAATTATTCATATACAAAACAAATGAATGATTTTGGCTTCCAATTTTTTTGATTTTGAGTGAATAGCTGTTCTGATATATGTGTCGACATTACAATATTCAAACAAAGTGAAAATAAATTGAATTGAAATAAATGACATTTTTTTGTATGAATATCCAAAAATATTTTTTCTATGCACATATGTAAAAACATACATATGTATGTATGTATGTCGTATTACATACGAAAAAAACTTGTTTGTAGAAAAAACTTTTACCGAAATGAGTTTAAATGATTTGAATGTTTTCCATGCATTCATACACATTCTTCCATTTATAGGTAGAAAATTTAAAACAAAATGTATATTCATAACTTACAAAATTCCAAACGCTTAGTGTTTTGTATGTGAAGTAAAATATTCAAATCTACTGTACTCTGTTTGGTTAGAAGTTTGAATGAATTCATGCAGCCCTCTAGTATGTATTTACCTTTTATCGCAAATGTGTTTCATTGTTCTGTTAGCTATTTAGTTTAAGGACCTGAAAAAAACCCCAAGTGTACCTAAAATATTTTATGAAAACTAAATTTTTAACCATGTTTTTGTGTTGTCCCAATGTTTTTTTTTTTATAAAAATTATATTCAAAAATTAACTACATCAAGTTGATATCTCCCGCTTTCTTCCTTTCTCTTTCTCTGTACTCTTCCTTTACCCGCTCTTTCTATTACAGTTTATGAGAAATTTTAATCGAAATTATGCATTTGCCACGGAACCAATATCCGATCCAAAACAATTACATTCGATAAATCCGCTCGGCGATGGCACTGGTGTGGATGAGTTGCTGTTGGTAAGAGATAAATACATATTTCGCTGCATACCTACTACATACTTATGTAGATATGTCTGATTGAATGTCCTGTTTGTCAATATGTTTGTGATTTAGTGGAATGTTTGTCTTGCTCAACACAAAAAAAAAGACAAAAAACAAATTATTTAAACACACTTTTCTCTTATTTACTCAAAATTATGTATGTATGTTTAATACATAAATACTATGTTATGCTAACGTACACTCCTATTATATACACGACCATATACAGCAATACAGTAGTGGTCAGATAAAAGTTACTTTATTAAATTTTTTTTATTAAAAATTTGTGTTTTTCGCATCAGTGAGGTGACATTCATTAAAGGAAATTCAAACTTCTTCTTTCTGGATGCATTGATAGCATTTTGGATTTGGAACCCCCATTAGATGCCCATCTAACGGAAGCCGATTTTTTTTGTCACCATCTGGTCACTCTGCTTTCCACTAAATATTGAACAAAGCTTACAGTGTCCTTCATATTATTGCACCATTTTCAATACTTTTGTTTATGAATTAACACTTTTTGGAATATATAAAAAAATGCGTACTCATACGCCATCCTGTGCAAATATCCTTCTTTTGAGATCTTTTACTAATTTGAAATAGTACATACATACATATATATTTCTTTTATAGAAATTATCGTTTACTGACTTGCTTTGTTGTCTGGTATTTAATTATTTATTATTTTTGCTTATATTGTTGGTAAATTTAATATGGCCACTACTGTACCTACCTATGTACATACACGCATATATATATATATATATTTATATTTCATCACACCTAATGATTTTCGACGGCTATCTGTGTGCATATATATTGCTCGTTTGCAAGAAGAACGTCATAACTGAATAATAAAAAATGCGAGAAAAATGGTTTTAAGTAACGTTTTTAGTGAAAATTTTCCCTTGTCTTAAAGTTATATATAATAAATATACTCATAGAATTTGGCTCCTTAATATGCCGCCATAGTTTGGTCAAAGAGTGTTTGTTCTTTTTTATATGTAAGTAGTTGCTCAAGCAAATGGAAATGCCTGGTTTCCACTCAACATTAAATGAAAAACAATTTAATGAAAAATTTGAGCATTAAAAAACCTTATAAAAAAACAATTATATATATTAAAAAATTTAAAGAAAGCATTTAAAATAAAAGTCATTAACGCCGATTCTCCACTAGTTTAAAAAATATCACGTAATTTTAATATAATTATACGGATATTATCTAATGCCAAAATTCTTCATTTAATTTTTCGTAATTTTTGTAATTTCAATACCTAAATAGTGGTTAAAAAAATTGTCTGAACTATGGCGTTCTTCCAAAGAACGAGCGATTCAAATTTAATTAGCTTCTGTCTTGAGAATAAATTGCTTCCATATGCTACACTCTACTCACAAAAAATTAATGCTTAACTGAAATACACTATACATATATACATACCTACTTAAATATATGTAATATGTATATATATATATATATATAATTTTTGTACTCTTAACTATGTGTACATCTGTATGTACGTTATTGTTAGATTTTATGTAATTTTGCTTCAACATTTCATCAACATGGGTATTTTTATGCGCGTCGATCACGCAACGTTGTTTTATCTTCATAATTTCTTGGCGCTCGAATTTTTTCGCAAAAAATCGAAACCTTTTTTCTGCTTACTTACACACGAAGTACAAGGAAGTTTGCTTGAAATTTAATTAAAAACGAATGCATACACATACATACATGCATTCATACATACAAACATATATGTATATATTATATAAATATATAATAATGCAGTTATTCTTACGTTTATACCGCTTAGGAAAATATGTACATATGTATATATATATATATATATCATGCTCGGTATTTGCACTTTTATTAATCAAATTTTTGTATATTTGTATGCCACTAAATTCTTCCATGGCTATTACGAAGCTTCTTTACATATTTGTACGTGTATACATTGTACATATTTACGTATGGATATATTCACTTTTCTATAACCGAGCGCACCACTTGTGCACAGGGTATTATAACTTGTTCGCATAACGGTTGTTTGTAACAGACGGTAACAAACGGTTGTTTGTAAATGATCAGAATTTAAAGAGAAGTCGATTCAGTCATGTCTGTCTGTCCGTGTACACGATAACTCGAGCAAAAATTTAGATATCGACGAAATTTGGTATACAGGTTGCACTTTATCCCATATTGAAAATGGCATATAACGGTATTTTTGAAAAATGCCAAAAGCTATGATCTTTCAGTAAATATCAAGACAAGCCCCCAAGACACCAGATCCCATACGATTTTGTGAAGATCGCAAATGATTAGAAGTTCTTAATAGTTTCGACGGCCGGTTTAAGCTGTATGTAGATAATTCTATACTCTCGTCTGCATTGTAGTATGCTCTAAAACATAACGGTTTTGCTCATAATAATTTTCTCTCCCAGCAAGGAAGCACACCTAGGCCAATAATACCTAATGTGATGTCACTTCCTATGTGGTGGAAGCACGGTGCTCTCTTAACGAAGCGTTGAAGATTGCGGATGTCCTCAGAGTAGTGATCAGCCCCATGCACTGTAAGAAATAATTCCACGTTGACCGTCATTTTCGCAGCAAACTCGGTCAGAACCTTTTTCGTATGTAAAGGGTGTTTTTTTTTTAGACGTGTGGGTTTCAAGGAGGCGTTACTTTTTTCGGAGTTGGTCTATTTGACAGCTGTTAATGGATTTATACTCAGTTTGGTTTGCCATTTCATAATGAACAGACTTACTCCGGAACAACGTTTGCAAATCGTGTAAATTTATTACTAAAATAATGGTTCAGTTTGGGTGACGCATCGCGCGCTGCGTCCAATATTCGGTCGACATAATCGCCCAGCAGAGTCGGTAATTCGAGCAGCCATGGATCGGTTTCGCACAGAGATGCCGTACAGTGCGCACCGAAGACGCTATTGCTGCTGTGAAGCAGATCCTCGACGACGACCCAAATGTGTCCATCCGTCATCGCGCGCAACAATTGGAGCTGTGCCCATCCACTTTATGGAAGATTTTGCGGAAGAATCTTGGTCTACGGGCTTATAAAATCCAACTCGTGCAAGAATTGAAGCCGAACGACCATTAAGCGCGTCGCACAATGGGCCCAAAACGAGATGGCCACCAATGCCGATTTTCACAAGAAAATTTTGCTCAGCGATGAAGCTCACTTTTGGTTGAATGGGTATGTTAATAAACAAAACTGTCGCATTCGGAGTAATGATAATCCACAAGCCATTGTTGAGACGCCGTTACATCCTCAAAAAGTCACTGTTTGGTATGCTCTATGGGCAGAGGGAATCATTGGTCCATATATCTTCAAAAGTGAAGCCGGCCATAATGTTACAGTCCATGGGGTGCGCTATAGAGCCATGACTAATGACTTTTTCATGCTTGAATTGGAGGATGTTGATGTGAACGACCTTTGGTTCCAACAAGACGGCGCTACATGCCATACAGCCAACGAAACAATGAATTTATTGAAGGTAACTTTTGGTGAGCGCATTATCTCACGTCGTACGCCTGTGGCGTGGCCTCCAAGATCGTACGATTTAACTCCGCTGGGTAATTTTTTGTGGGGTTATGTGAAGTCGCTTGGCTACGCAGTTAAGTCCGAGACGATTGACGCCTTGGAAGATAATATTTGGCGAAAATATTTGGCACGGTTCCAATAGCTGCAAAAAGTGGTCGAAAATTGGGCTTCGCGACTGGAATTTATTCGAGCCAGTCGCGGCGGTTACTTGCCCGAAATCACTTTTTAAACATAATGGTAAACCCTTTATATATATATATATATATAAATATATAGCTCACAAAATTCACTGCGGGAAATTTTTTTATTCGTTTTTGCCTTTGCAAGTTTTGAAAAAAGGTTTTAAACGAACCATTATAACATGGCACAAGGTGTGCTATCAACCTCACATTCCTAGGAAAGTTTTGAAAGAATATTTTCGATACTAAATTTTATTAAAACAAAATTTCGAAATCAGCTTCTTATAGAAACAGTGTCATCGTTAATTAAGAAAGAGATGTTCTTAAATATTATAACTTTACGACACTCACATATTGACTAGATTTGGCTATTATTTATTTTATTCTTTTTTAATTTTAATTATTTGTTTATAAATATATTGTTTATTCCTTAACAAAAACTGTATGAAAATAAGTTTAAATCTTTAAGTAACATAAAAAAAATCGACAGGCTTTGGTAAAAATTTCGAGTTTTCTATTTCGATTTTTTGTTTTAATATTTTGCAGTTTTTAGTTTAAAATAGCTGAAATTTACCGTAGATGTGTGGCATTTTTTTGACGATGTCGGTCATTTTCTTCCATGTTATCTAAGAATGTTCGATAATTTTTTTAATGAAGAAAATGAGCAACAACTTCATAGAAAAAAATATTAAAAATCAACAATAATTCGCAGCATATTTAAAAGCATACTCAAAATAATTAAAATTAAATAATTTTAAGATAAATGGCCAATCTTATCAATATGTGCGGTTCAGTATTGAGTTCAAAAGATGTCTCTTTTATCCATTCACAATAACTTAAAAAAATTTGTTTGTTAAGAAGTGTGCCTTAAAATATGTGCATACAAATTTATGTTAAAAGTGTAAAATACATATGTAAATGTACCTGCATACATAAATTTTCCCATGAATACCATCAAATCATTGGTCATGAAGGGAATCTATGTATGCATGTACTAAGAAAATATAAAGTCGTTACAATTTCAGTCGAAAAGTAGATTTCGTACTGAAGGAACAATTTCATTTCCCAACACTGAGGTAGGCTTGTGGTCGTGTGCATGGATTTTAAAGCTGTGCTGTAGCAGTCACAATGAGATGTGTCTGCTGTATGCAGGTAAACACTTGCGAATTGTGCCAATGCCGCGCCGTGTAGCTTATAACTTTTCTACCTCAATATTTCAACATTTTTTATTTTGTTACACAAAAACGTCGCGTGACTAGCGTTGCAAGATTTTTTTCGTGAAAAATCAGCCTAGTGAATATTAAATTTTCAAAAATCGGAAAAAATTTAAAATCTTTTTGTGAAAAAATATACTTTTGAAGAAAAGCAAAAAGTATTGGCACAGCCGCTTTTTGACAATATATGCAACAATTTTTATTGTAATATTTTGCTGACAATTTATTATAAAAATATGGTTCATTCTACAACAAAAAACATAAAAATCTAACCTTTGTACGAAACTCGCTAAAATTCACCAAAATTTCATACAAATGTTCAACTTTTTAATCAGATTTTTTCGAATTTTTTGAGTATGCAGTTTTGCAGCCAATTCTAGTAAAAAAATGCAAGTTCGGAGTTAATCAAAAATCGCATTGATTTTTCAGTTTTTTTTTGTTGAAGGTGTTTTGCATTTATTCCATATTCAGTATTTAAAAAAAAATTTTTTTTTATGGAAGAGACTGCGTGAAAAAATGCATTTTTTTAATTTTTCCCCAACTTTAATATGAATAAATATGATTTCTAACCAATTTGTGGCTGATTTTACTTGGTAAAATTTAAAAAATAATGAAAAATTGTAATTATATTGATAATTGTCATTAAATTAACGATAGTCACATAAAAAATTGCAATGTAAAAAAATTATATTTTTGAAGATCTTGAAGCTTGAATGAACATTGTATTATTTTAAGGTATTTTTTTTATATTTTTTACTGCTACTGATACTTACGTATATAAGTCTCTTCCAACACAAACGATAAAAAACGATATGTTTTGTTTTATTTTTCGAAATTGAGATATCTTTGCAAGGTAGAATTGGAACATATTTAAATTTTTTGTTATGGCTATCGACAGACCATTTTCCACTTAACAACACAAACAAAAAACGCAAAAAAATTGAAACCTGTTCAAAAGTTATAGATTACTGATCACTCACACCCCCAAAAAAGTACACTGTGCGACGGTGCAATTGAAAGCTTATTTCATTAGTTTTAAATGCTCTGTGGCAACTTCATGAAATCAATATGGCGAACAAAAAATATGAAATATCAAAATTTGAAAATTGAAATAAAAACGTGATTGTATTTTTCGAATAGTTTTGCCTCAAAAGTGTATCAAATACTTGTTTGATTAGACACATAGTTTCTGAGAAAATAATTCAAAAATATTCGAAATTTTTGTATTTCATGGGCGGTGCACAAACTACGAAAATCCAAAAATACAAAATTCCGAAAAATACAAAATCCCAATCCCAATTTTCCGACTAAACTCATTCCCTAATAAATGCTCCGTTTATATAAAAATGAAGAAAAAAAAAGAGTTGTAAATTACAACTTTAAAACGTTTTAATACATATATCTTAATTTTCATTGGAATCATTATTACGACACTCTTTTTCGTTTATTTTTAAGTTATTACTTAAAAAGAAATAAATATACCGCTTAAAGGAGTGGTTTCCTGCTTGTTACCAATTTTTATTTTATTTAAATTAATCTGAGAGAAAGCCCTTTTTTATGGAATTTTCGGTGCATTTTAACTGAATGTAATGAACAGTTAAAAAGTTTGGCTATATTTTTTTTTTTTAAATATGTCTACATATGGAAGATAAATCTTCACTTCTGGCAACACTGCTTCATACCACCTTATATTGTGTGTTGCATTTTTTTGCTGCTGCTATTGTTATTTCCTCGGCAATGTTGTTGACATGAAAGTAATAGCAGTGTATTTTCCTGGAAACATACTTTCACAGATACAATACTATTTACCTTAGGGTGGTCCTTAAATGTAGGTAGCAAATTTTTACATCAGATTTCCTAAGTCTCAATCCCTACGTCGATGCTACTATAGTCGAAGATATCGCATATAAATTTTAGCCTCGATTGGAGACTGTCGCACAGGGGGCAAAGATCAGATTCCTCTATGAAGACTCAAAAAATTTAAATTATTATTTTTTTAATCTAATACCCAAAATCGATACTCCTCGATTGGAGTCGGTTAATGCGAAAAATTACACTGAAGATGGCACAACGCCGAATCCGGTTTGTCTGCAAACCAAACTTGACAAGGGATGACGGAAATTCGTTCCAAAATAAATCATAAATATTTATTTTGTAAATTAATTCCATAGTTGAAGGTTTATAGATCAGACAATCATATAGCCTGCCTGACAATACGACTACAGTGTCTTTCAAGCGGAGATTCCTAATATTTATTCTCTATCAGGGCAAGTCACAATACTCGTTGAAAGCTAAGCGGCATTGAAAGTGTTCAGATCCAAAGAAAATAAAATAATAAAATAAATACATATTTATTTATTTGGAGAGCTACTACTCCGGACGGCAATGGTTTTAATGAGAAGCTTTTTTTTGATATTGCTCGAAACCAGGGATCGGGGGTAGCGCAAACCTCTAACCACTCGACCACGGCGGCCGTTCCAAAGTACTGTAGTCAAAAATTGTTTGGAAATTTCACGCATCACTTAAATCACTGAGTCACGTCAACGTTACGCTTACATACACAGCAGCGATACTCTCAGCGTAACACGCAATACCATGACCCACAGGCCTTGCGATGTCTACTACCGATCTAGTCTCTTCATAGTTTAATGGCTTAAAGAGCGCATTTCTGCCTTTATCGAGGGCACTTTGAAGTCAGTATTTTGCTATTCATTTGTAATAGTCGAAAATAAAAAGTATTTATTTTGCCTGCGAAGTACATTCACATTCATTTGCTGTTAAATTCACACTCGATCTAAGCGCCATAATAATAAAAGTAGTCTAAAGGTATCTTCAGTGAGAAATTTAATTGAGTCTAACTTTTTAAACGAGCTGTCATTTTTCGGTGTTCAGTCCGCTGTTCGATTGGTGATGGACTACAGCGATGGAAAAGTAATATCGTACCCTTTTCAATTTAAAAGTACATTCGGTACAAGCACACCATTTTAGGTATATTTGTAACGTAGTCAAATAATTTTTCAGGAAATGCTTTATGTATGCACATTAAGGTGCATCCTTCTCCATACAAAAAAATAAAATAAAAATTAAAAATAGGTAGAAACAGTTGTTACATCGGACTTAAAAAATTTATTATATTTTAAGATTTTCGCAAAAAAAAAATCGGAAAAATATTCAGCATTACGTGAGTTGGAGCGACTTGCAAATATGTACCTTCAAAAATCGCATTATAGTTTTTCCATTGATAAAATGTTCAAGCATTTAAATGCAGACCTTTTAATCTTAAATGCATCTATCCAAATGTAAACAAAAACATTTTTGAAAACCAATTTTTTTTTATAAAAACTAATTTTTAGTTGGTATTTTTAAATCGGTCCAGCTCACGTTAACATTAATATTTTTAAGATGTTTTTTTGCGGAAGTCTTTTAATATAATAGATTTTATAATTCTAGTGGAAAACCACGACTTTTTTTGGGGGGGGGAGGGGGGGCACCCTAATGCAAAATGATTTAATATCGTATGGCGCCGTGACGGCTTGGTGAATATACCTCGGAGTAAAGTC